CGTGCCAGTGGCGTTTTCACTTTCAATTGCTGATGGTTCCCAAGCTTGACCCTTTCTTCCCTCCTTCGGGAACATTTTAGCATCGCTTTATTTCAGCTCCTTTAGTTTTGTCACCCAAGTCTTGCTCCCCACCCCCATCACAGTCCAAAGCCGTGCTGTGCTTGCCCTCTCACTGATGCGTTAGCCTTTTTTCCTTCCACCACAAACAGGGTTGCCAGATAAAACACAGGATGGATTCCCAGTTAAAATGGGATTTCAGATAAACACTAAATAATTTTTTAGCATAAGTGTGGCCCATACATTATTTGGGATATACTTATAGTAACAATTATTTGTTGTTATCTGAAATTCAGATTAACTGGGCATTCTGTATTTTTAAGTCTGATAACCTTCTAAATATCTATACCAGTTATACTATGAAAACTTTTACTTCTACAACAGCATGTTTTGGCCAAGAGGAATAAGAGAGGCTTCCCAGGTACTTCCTAAAGTCCTGTTTTGACTAACTTAAAAAGACAGTGCCTGCAGGTTAATGGAAGATTCTGACAACTGAGTGGGATTTCTGTGATTTCAGGGTATGAGATATATATTGACTTTGATTTGGGAGATCACTTGGTAAATGTGAGGTGTCTGCATTTTAGGCTGAATTGTCAACTCTGGAAGTAGGTGAAAGTTAACAGTTTTATATCCATATACCATTCCACATCCATTCAAAACTGAGAAAAATCTTGTCTTCTAAACATAATTCACAATCCTGATGATCAAGCATTAACAGAACAAAAAAATCTGCCTTGAAGTATGTTTGAATGAGTCTTGGGGATGGAGACTCGAGACACAACATCAAAAGGTGCTCATACCAGTTAAGTAAAACATTAGGCAGTTTTATGGAATGTAGAAATGGCTTTTTCATGCAGCTCAAAGGAGGCATGATGTTGAAGGGGAAAACCCAAAGAGGAATGATTTGTGTTTGTCAACCCACTAACATTTATGGAAAAATGTCCCTGGGGAATACCGAAGTAATCAGATGACATGGGCTTGCCCCTGGAGGAATTAATTTATGGGTGAGAAATTTCAAAATAGAATGACTTATCCCAACTTTTCTTTTCCTTCCTTTTGTTTTTTTAAAATTTTCTTCTGTGAAAGAAATAGGCGTGCCACAGCTGTAGATAGGAATAGTCAAGTGAAGAGTGACAATGACGTAGATACCCCAGGGGAGGCTGCACTGATGATTCAGTAGTATTTTTTGAGCACCTTCTACAGTGTGTAATCATCATATTTGAGTGCCTTGTGTATGCCTGGCATGGTGTTAGGTGCTGAGGATGCAGCAGTGAACCACACAGGCCTGGCTGTGTGTAGCTTGTGCATTGTCATTGTAGGTAGGTACTTTGAGAAATACAAAGATAAACCAGGTAGGAAGGAAGGAAATTCTGGCCTTTAGGAGCTTACTTAGGGTTGATTACCTGTGCTGTTTCCCCCTGATAATTAGAGACACCACCTGCCGTTGGCCAGAATATTGGATACTTGGCAGATGACCGTGCATTATTACTTGAAAAGCTTATCAGACCTCAGGTCCGCCATTGAGTTTTTATATCAGAATCTTAAGTAGCCAGTCCAAGCTGACAGTGCAAGCTTCAGTATGTACCTATCTTCATAAAATCATAAAGGCATGCTCCATCTCATGTCAGATAGAATGTCTCCTAATACGGGTGCACTTTCTATAGCTTTGGGGGAGCTGTTATGAAAACTAGTAGAACTTGATTAACCCTAATGATATTTTGATCAGTTTTAGGCGGGGTAAAAAAAGAATGTACTATGGCAGTAAGATTTTTCCTCCTTTCCAAAAGAATTTATATTAATAAATGGTGTAGAAAAAGAGGGAAGGCTAGTAGTTTTGGCAATTCTGCTTTAAAAATAATAGTAAGGAAAACACCCTGATTCTGAAACCTCATAGTATTTGAACTCTTGCTTACGTTGTAAAAGCTGCTTGCGTTGCTTGGGATCCCTAGCCTGACATTTATGGGATGTCATAGTGTCTAGGTATTTGAGAGCAGTCATAAAGTTCTCAGAAAATTCTGAATACAATATATTTAAGGAACAGATGCATTCAGTGGAGTATTCTTTAGGGGTAGCAGTGTTCTCTTTTGGGAAAAAATAGTAACTCAGACATTAATGAGGAATTGTGTTTCCATAACAATCAGTGGCTTTAGGTGTTCAGAGAAGTTAAAAGAAATGAATAACTTTCCTTCAGGGTTTTTGCTTTGGGATATTTTGGTTGTTACTTTTTTTTTTTTTTTACTGATTTCAAATGCTGTTTTAATGAGCACATTATTTTGTGGTGGGACCATGAATTTTAAGGATAACATAGAAAAACATTCATTCTTCTATTCCTTAAGGGCTAATGGACTTAAAAATATCTGTCAGCTTTGTCTTTAAAATCTTCTTATTTATAAGCATCCCCTAACATCAAACCTAATTGGCTCATGAGAATTTATTCTTGAGGCATGGCCATAACACAAATTCTTATTTCCTGTCGGTTGTGTTATATATAAAGCTTGTGTTATATATTGGGCTTCCATTCCTGGAAGTGTGTTTTATAATATAAAAATAACAAAGTCGATATGAAAATGTATGAAAAATATAAATGCACTTTTTTTTTTTTTTTTTTTTTTTTAAAGACAGGCTTTTGCTCTGTTGCCCAGTACAGTGGTTTCATCATAGCTCGCTGCAACCTCAAACTCTTGGACTCAAGTGATCCTCTTGCCTCAGCTTCTCAAGAGGCTGGAACTACAGGTGCACGCCACCATGCCCAGCTAATTTTTAGTTTTGTTTTTGTAGAGACACAGTCTCACTATTGCTCAGGCTGGTCTTGAACTCCTGGCCTCAAATGATCTTCCTGTCTTGGCCTCCCAAAGTGCTAGGATCACAGGTGTGAGCCACTACGCTTAGCCCAAATGCATTTGATGCAAATATTTATTAGATACTTCAGACCAAAGATACTAAAGATAAAAAAGTTACTGTAAATGTTACTTTTGGGGAATTTTTTTCTGTTAGGCCGAATTGACTGTTGTTAAATCTCCCTAAAGCATATAAAGGTATTTTTTCTAGTGTTTTGAGGACCTTCAAATTGTGTTAAATAGGGTTATCTGCTTCAATTCTATTGAGTATAAAAGTGTAGAAATAACTGCTAGGTTTCTTAATTGCTGAAAGTTGAAGGAGGGGCAGTTTCCATGGCAACTTCTTCAGCAACTCATGCTCTGATATTTCAGAAGGATCTTTGCTGAGCTGTGAGTGCAATACTAAGAATTCAATCAAGTCTTTAGAATGTGAAGAGCAATTGCTAAAGAAATTCATTTGCCCTAACACAATTAGAGCAAACAGCTAGCTGTGTCTGTACTGTCCTCAACTGAGTCAGCCTTGCTGGTCCATTTACCAAGGCATTACCTTTGGACATAGTCCTTAGTTGGTCTGATAGTTACTTGGTTTGAGTCATGTCTGTGAAAATCTTATATAAGAGAGGCAGTCAGAAGTTGAGCTTTTTGGGGTTGGTTCTGATACCTGAACATCATACATTAGGGTGTATTACTTTATATGTGTTTGGAAATGATTTGTTGGTCTGTCTCAAGAAAGTAAGCAAAACATAAATTTTGGCTAAAAACTCAAATTTATTCTGAAATCCTTTTCTGGTTTTCTTTTTAAATAAGGGGACAGAGCAGGACCTGACATTATCTTGCAGTAACCAGTGGTGACCATAGACTTTTATGTCTGTCTATGCCTACACGAACTGTAGGAGTTCCTGCAGAAATGACATTAAAGGAAGATCTTTTATCTCTCATGTTTTCAAAGATGAAACACATCTAAGTGTGAATGAGATGATATGAAAGTATTTTCTTCAAACATTTTTGGATAGTTATTTTTTCCTACTGATCCTCCCAACTAGACTTTGTGCTTTGTAGGGTTGCATACATAGTAAAGTTCTTAAGTATTTGTGGATTTGTAATTTGTCCATTCTTAACTCATTTTCTGGTTGGATTTGTATTTTTTAAAAAATTATTAAATTGTGTTGAGAAAGGAAGAGAAACAGCAATCTTGCATTATTCCTAATAATCAGATGAACATCAATCTATAAATCAACACATATTATTAAGTATAGTAGGTACTTGCCTAGCACTATACCACAGGGATCAGAGGTAATGTAGAAAATAATCCCTGCATCTTTAAGTTGCCTTATTTTGTGACCACTCATTCATGGTTAAAAAGCAGTATGACGGTGAGTTTAATTGGTTTTCACTACAATGCAGTCTACTCACATTTTTTTCTTTCATTCTGTCTTCTTTGTTAGATAACATTTTTGGTATTTGTAATTTTTGTTGATCCCCTTCTCAGGTTTTCCAATTTTCTAAAGGTCATTTCTGGAGCAAGGTATAGTTTAACCCTCTCCTATCCTTAGAACACCTTATGATAGAAATTAACACAAGCAGTTCTGGCCAGTTAACTTGGTTGGGAAAATGGGACCATATTGACAGAAGAAACAAATCAAGCCTCCAAGAAGTTCCAAGGAACAGGAAGAAAAAGTGTAGTGTTCCTTATAAAAATCATATGTGATTATGCCTTTCTGATGCCTGTTCAAAATCTCAAGATTAGGAGAGGAAGGAAAAGAAAGCCACTATGGGTACAGCCTTGACTATCAGAATTGTACAGTGACTTTCAGCTAGGGCCTACCTGTGCTCACTTGTCCATCTTTGGGAAGTCACTCTTGTGGAGACAGTGTCTGCCCTAGGTCTCCTGTCTTCTGCACACTTTTTTTTTTTTTTTTCAAACCTCTGGAGTTATTGAAGCCAGAAATCAAAAAGATTTAGCAATGTTTTTTCATCATATAGTGTTTTTCTCTTTCCAGATGAAGAGGCCTATCCAATTGGCCTTTATGAAGTAGGTTTTACTACAGCATTGAAACGGAAGCATTAAAATATAAGCTGATAAAAAGCAAAGTATTAATAGTTTACCATAAAAATTTCAGGTCACACAGGCCAAGTGGGTTATTGACGTAAGCATTCTCCTCGAGTGGTAGGAAATAGAAGAGAGCCTTGTGGAAGCAATTCTTCCTTGATTTTTTTTTTTTGAATTGTCAGTTCATCTGTGTTTCTCTAAGATTTCAAATATTCCAATCCAAGAGAGATTTGAAATTCTGTCAAATTAAGGAGATGGTGTTTCAGTCTCTGAAGTATAGTTACTTCATTGATAAGGTATTTATTATGAATAAACAAAAGGGTATTTATTATAGACATATACAGATATTTATTATGGATACATACAATGAAATATTTTTCAGCCTTAAAAAAAGGGAATTCTGACATATGCTACAACATGGGTGAACCTTGAAGACACTATGCTAAGTGAAAGAAGCCAGGCACAAAAAGACAAATGTTGTGTGATTCCATTTATATATATGCTACCTAGAATAGTCAAATTCACGAAGGCAGAAGGTAAAGTGGTGGCAACCAGGGGATGGGGGGAATTGGGAGTTAGTGTTTAGTGGGTACAGGGTTTCAGTTTCTCCAGGTAAAGAGAGTTCTGGAGATGGAAGTGGTGATGGTTGGACAACGGTGTGAATATACTTCATGCTGCTGCTGAGCTGTAGACTTAAAAATGGTTAAGATGGTAAATTCATGTTACGTGTACTTTACCACAATCTTTTAAAAAGGTGTTTATTGAGCATCTGTTTTTTGGTTCCAGCTGGAGTCCAGGGACTGAAACAAAAGCCCCCAGGGAGGGAGCTTACAGGTCCGTAAGAGGTGAGAGTGTGATGCTGCTGGAATGGGTAACACAAGCTCATGTCATGGTGAAGGATCCTTTGGTTCTCAACGCAGGTGAACCCACACCTAGCCATGAAAAAGGGCCAGAAATGGTTCTCTTTGTAACTCTCACTTCTACCCAGCTTCCTCATCACAGTATGGAGTTCCCGCCTCACTGCTGCGTCCCAAAGCCAGTGCCTTGGGATCTTTTTAACCAGCTTCTCCTTGAACTGGCTTGTCTTCTGCTCTCTTCCCAAATCCAGCTCTGCTCTTCCTCCTTGGCCTGCCCTTTTTAATCCCTTATTTGATGTGTGTATAGCTCCCATTTTATAGACCACATCATTTTCCATCTTGAACTATAAATTTAGAGAGGACGTGGGCTATGCACTTTGACCTCTGCAGCACCAGCACAGTAAATCATACTTAATGAACGTTTTGGACGAGGATGAGGCTCTGAAGTTGGAAGCCGACATGCTAATGCCTATTTAATTGAAGGTTATTAATGCCTCTTTAGCACTGAAAGATAGTCTTCTGTTTACATCAGAGGACGAACAAGCCCTCAAGCTTTTTCCAGTGGTCCTGAAGAATTCTGAGTCAGGGATTGCCACAGTACACACTGACCTGGACTCAGCATCCCAGACAGAATGAGAGAGACGCTTGGAGCATTGGGGCAGCTTCCATAGAGAAGACAAGGGTCTTTTCCTCTTATGCATGGTTCCAAGGTGGGAGTTCAGGGCTAGGGTAAGGCAAAATATTTAAATACTAGTTCAGCTTATTAAATAGGAGATTTTCTTTCTCTTCCTCAGTGAATAGACTTTGCCCTCAGCCCAGAGTAATAGTTGTAAGTGGGGTGACCATGCATCCCAGTTTTTAATACCCGTTTGCCTGGATTAATTATTGATAGCTCCCCCTTTCAATCTCAAAAGCACCCTGGTTTGGATTGGTAAATGTTATTGCTACCCGGGTTATAAGAGGAACATGTAGAGAGAACCAGTTATAAGCGGTGGGTGGGGAGAAAGTGCAAGGGAAACGGGCTACTAGAGATTGAGGAAGTAAGGAATTTCATAAATAGCGGTATAGTCTGGCGTGTTAGAGATTCTTTGGACAGAAAAAAATTGTTTGGCTTTTAAACTATAAGCATCCTAGTCTATTGTTAGAATTTGAAAGTCTTGAAAGCTGCATGGTATCGAAGATTTATTTTAATTAGTGTAGGATCTTTCAGCACAGGTTAAGAGGTTAATATATTTACTTAGAGCTTCAAGTATTTTTATGGCTAATGGCAAAAGAGTTCACCGTAAGGTACAAATGTGTGTATATATCTTGCATTTGTTTACAAAAATGAATTTGGTCTCTTAAAATTCTGTTTATGTGTATGTACTTAGATAATTGTATGGTGGATATTCAATATTGATTAACCTTGGCTATTAGGAAAAGCCACACTGGTAATGAAGGAAATTTGATAGGACCATATAAAGGGAACATCATATAATCTGAACAAAATAATCAAGTATCATTAGGAATTTTTGTGTTCAAAGTTTCCATATAAACCAGTTTGAGCTGGTTTTCTGTGAAGGGCATGTGTCAGTTTAAATAAATGGAAAGTCTAGATGTAGGGTGCTTTTAGGGTTAGTTCTTCCAGCAACCCAATAATCCCAACCTCATCCTACATCTTTCTATTTCTCTGGTCTGGCACCGCTGGTATCTGCTTCAACCAGAGCCTACTGCTCTCCTTGCTGTGGAGAGCCATCACATTTGAGTTTGTCATCACAGTATGTGCGTGTGAGTATGTATTATGTGCATGTGTGAGTGTATCACTTGTGCACTTAAAATATATTTAAAAAATAATTTCAAAAGTTATCTGGTGATACTGCTTTACATTCTGAAAGAGCTTTACAGTTTTAGAAAGGACTGCTTATCTCACTAGATCAGCAAGTAGTTTTACAGAGTGGAGAAATTGTCATTTGTATTTTGCATGTGAAGGAATAGAAGTGTGAGTGAGTGACTTGATGTGTATTAACACCAGCAGGATGAACTTGAACACAAGCCTAGGTCTTCTGATTTCATGTCCATTGCTCTTGCCATGATGTTGCCTCTCAAATTTCTTCTTGCCCAGTATATTTCAGAATTTTTTTCCCCAATTTCCTTTTTATGTAGGCTTGATTTGAGGTGGTGCCACACTATTCATCGTTAGGAAAGAAAGAATCTGGATGCCTTTGGGCTAATTGGACATGGCTTTCCTGTTTGCAAAGTGTGCTTACTGATGCTGAATTATCACCATCTTACAGGTGTACCCAAGAAAGGACGAAGGATTCCCAGTTCAAACATCCTTTTGACAGCTCTATCCCAGTTGCCATCTCATTACATTTGCAGCGTAAGAATTTTTCTGTGTTCCTTAGCTCGTGGCCTTCTTTTTATGTTCAGAGTTTCCATGTAAACCAGTTTGAGCTGCTTTTCTGTGAAGGGGATGTCAGTTTAAATAAGTGGAAAGTCTAGATGTAGGGTGCTTTTAGGGTTGGTCCATGCAGCAACTTACTGACTGGCTTCTCTATTCTAACCTCCACTTGAAAGACATAGGCTCATCTCTCAAGAGCCAGCTGAAATGCTGCCGCCCCAGTGATGTTTTCTCTATTTATTCTAGTAATTGCCCTTTTTTTTTCCCTCTGAGTTCCTGTAGTACCTCGAATTTCTCTTATGGCCCTTATCACACTCTGCTTTATCCCAGAGCTATTTGTCTTTATTATATTCCTACCTACAGGATTGTGGTGAGCTCCTTAAGGGCGATGACCATTTCTCATCCGTCTTGGTGTCCCCTTGGCACGTAGCACATTGACATATTCCCTAGGAAACTTTGCAGTCCATTTTTTTGAATAAATGAATGGGTTTAGAAATGTTTACACTCACTTATAAGATACGAGGCGATTGTAGATTTTTTTTTTTTTTTTGGCACGTGGATATTACTGGGAACTTTGTATTGGTATAATTATCGCCTGGTTTATGCATAATTAAAAAACGTAATTGTATATTTTTATGCAGTAGGTTATCATGTCCTGTTTTAAGTCTGTACAGTTTTTTATGGGCCTACCATTTAACTAAATTGCATGGGCGCTCTTGAGAAGGCTGCTGTGAGGAACTGCAGAGCGGAGATCTTTCTCGGAAGCTCCGTGAGTGGGCTCCTCGTGCTGTCTGTCTGTCCTGTTAGGCTAAGCCGCAGCACAGCTGTCCCCACTGGACTGGCTTTCCTCTTGTAGCTCTTGCTGCATTGCACTAGCTGAGAAAATAGGTTTTAAGATTTTAACTCTTCTCTGCCTACCCTGGATGTCAGAAATATTTTAGAGGGTTTTTGGACAGTCGAAATTCAATAGACATGACTTTTGGGTTTTGAGAGTTTTCTTTGGGTTTTGTTTGTTTGTTTGTTTGTTTTTTAATGTTTACATTTCACTCCATTTTCTTCCAGTTCTGTAAATCTTGGACTGGCCTAGGAGCTGGCATTTTTATTAACCTTTTCACCACTCCCCGTCCCCAACAAGGTACTTCTGATGTCAGGGGTCCAGAGAAAACTTCATGTCACATGACACCAGAATAAATCAGTGAGGGAATGAAGGATTTTGAGATTGGCCCTTTAAAATGAACAAGATTTAGGCAGGTGGAGAAGAGACTATTTCCTTGTAGAGGTAAGAAAAAATAGCAAAGTCGAAGGTGAGAATGAGCATGTAATGTTAGGAGGGAAGGCTGGCAAGGAGGATCCTAACCAGGTTTCAGTGGAAGATTACTTTAGAGCAATGCTCTCAAACTGTGGGTGCATTAGAAGTGTCCATTGAGCTTGTTAAACATCCACATTCCTGCATTCTACCCCATCCTGAAATTCTTTCTGTTTGGGGCGTTCTATATGTTTAGGGTATGGCCTGGCCATCTGCATTTCTAACAGATACTCAGTTGAACTTGGAGTGATAGACTTCCTGCCTTATGGTTACTCTGACAAGGCGGCAGGGTTTACGACTTGGCACCCCTTAGATTTGGATAAGGTTTTTGGATTTAAGATGGGGAGGGTAGAGCTCTAGCTGGGGGATCAGTTCCACCGCTGCTGAGTGATTCTGGTGAGATGCATGCAGTGAGGGGACAGCTATCAGGAATTAAAGGGTAGAACTTGGATGAAGGTACGGACACCTGAGAAAGGAATTTATTTACTCTTCTGTAAACTGCTAAGAACTTGCAAAGACATTTTCCATTTGTAGTCCGCTGACATTTTTAAGAGAGGTAACCTTTTTAATCCACCCCTCTAAAGGCCTGACAGTGGTCCCTTGTAGACATCCAAAAGAGCCTCAGATCAGAGTTGGTCTAGTTGGAGGGTCTCACTTGGGATCCATGGCCGTGAATGGATTTGGGGGCTAGTGAA